TTACTTTTATTGTGGAGTAACTCAGTTAGTAACTCAGTTACTTTTTGGGAGAAGTAACTAGTAACTATAACTAATTACTTTTTCAAAGTAACGTGCCCAACACTGATCAAGAATAAGTATCCTCCTACTCTCCTGACATCTGCCTTTAAGCTACTTCAATGTAGCACCATCTACACAAAATTGGACCTACGGAATGCTTACCACCTGGTTCATATAAGTGAGGGCGATGAGTGGAAGACTGCTTTTAATACCCCTTCAAGACATTATGAATATCTGGTGATGCAATTTGGGCTCACAAATGCGCTTACAAATTCCCAGGCATTAGTAAACGATGTCTTAAGTGACATGCTTAACCGATCTGTTTTGATGATATTTTGATTTTCTCCAAAGACCTGTCCTCCCATATCCAACATATCCGTGAGGTCCTTCATAGGTTACTCCAAAATAAACTATTTGTTAAAGCAGAGAAGTGTGCTTTTCATCAGTCTCCTGTACCCTTCCTTGGTTTTGTCATAGCTGCAGGTAAAATCAGCATGGATTCTTCAAAGGTATCAGATGTCCTTGACTGGCCAGAACCACTTAGTGTTAAGGAGTTGCACCGGTTTCTTGGATTTGCTAATTTTTATCAGCACTTTATGAAGAACTGCAGTTCAGTTGCCACTCCTCTTCACAAACTCACATTTACCAAGACTGTTTAGGTGGTCTGCAAAAGTCAAACAAGCATTTTACATTTTTGAACTTAAGGGTATTTTCACTTCAGCCCTCATCCTTTATTTCCCTGATCCCTCAAAACCATTTGTGGTGTTGGTGCTATTTTGTCTCAGCAGTTTGGAGATGATGCCAGGTTACTCCCATGTGCTTTCTTTTCTTGTCACCTACTGTAACTGACTCTGAGAGGGAATATTATGTCAGGGATCAAGAACTCTGGGCTATCAAACTAGCACTGGAAGAATGGAGGCATTGGTTGGAGGGATCCACACATTTCACTGTGTGGACCGACCAGAAGAACTTGGAGTACCTCAAATCAGCCAAAACACTAAATCCACGACAAGCTAGGTGGGCATTGTTTTTCAATGGATTTGACTTTACCCTTGCCTACCGGCCTGGTTACAAGTACATTAAAATGTCTGACTGATGAAATGGCCCGAGAACTGTTCAGGTTCCATTGAATTCCCCTTAACACTGTGTCTATTACAGGACCACAATTCGTCTCCCGTTTTTGGGGTGAGTTTTGCTCTATTCTTGGCATTGACATCAGTCCGTCTTCAGGTTTTCACCACCAGACTGATGGCCAGACTGAGAGGATCAATGAAGAGGTTGAGTTTAAGCTGCGCACCCATTGCATGGATGCTTCAGGTCAGTGGTCCCAGAACTTACCTTGGGTAGAGTATGCCCTCGATGGGTTACCTTCTAGTGCTACAGGCCTGTCGCCATTTGATGTTGTCTATGGTTAGCAGCCTCCAGTTCTCTCAGTATAGGAGAGAGATTTAAGTTCCTGCTGCCCATATACATGCACGTCGCTGTCTCAGGACTTGGAGAAAGAAACAAGCAGCTATCTGCAAAACCACAGGTATATATCGAAATGTTAACCGCCACTCTCCCAGGCCCCAAGATATGTAGTGGGACAGAAGGTGTGGTTATCGGCTAATGATCTACCCATTAAGGTCGAGAATCGTAAACTGGCACCTCGATTTTTGGGCTCATTTCCTATTGCCGAG